GCCACACTGTTTTCCACAGAGGCTGTACTAGTTTACACTCCCACTAACAGTGTAGAAGTGTTCCCTTTTTGCCACATCCTCGCCAGCATTTGTTATTTTTTGAGTTATTGATGATGGCCATCCTGACTGAAATTAGGTGGTATCTCAGTGTAGTTTTAATTTGCTTTTCTTTGATGACTAGTGAAGCTGAACATTTTTTCATGCATCTTTTGGCCGCTTGTATATCTTCTTTTGAAAACTGTCTATTCATATCTTTTGCCCACTTTGTAATGGGGCTGTTTGCTTTTTTCTTTTCAGCACGTTTGAGTTCCTTGTAGATCCTAGATGTTAGGCCTTTGTCAGACATACAGTTGGCAAATATTTTTTCCCAGTCTGTGGGCTGTCTCCCTGCTCTCTTGATGGTTTCTTTGACTTTGCAGAAGTTTGTCAATTTGATGAGGTCCCACTTGTCTATCTTATCTCTTATGACATAGGCACTTGGAATTTTGATCTGGAATTGGTTGCCAGTTCCAATTTCCATAAGGGTGTCTCCTGTGTTTTCTAAGGTTCTTATAGTTTGAGGTTTTACATTTAGGTCTCTGATTCATTTAGAGTTGATTTTTGTGTATGGGGATAGGTAGGGGTCTTGTTTTAGTCTTCTGCATGTGGTCAGCCAGTTTTCCCAGCACCATTTACTAAATAAATTCTCCTCTCCCCAGTGGTTGGTGGTGGAGGCTTTGTCAAAGATGAATTGTTTGAGAAATTGAGGTTTTGCTTCTGGAATCTCAACTCTGTTCCATCGGTCTATATGCCTGTTCTTATACCAATATCAGGCTGTTTTGATTATTGTAACTTTATAATAAAGTTTAAAGTCTGGGAGTGTGATACCTCCTGCTTTGTTTTTTGTTTTTTGTTTTTTTGCTGAGGATTGTTTTGGCTATTTGTGGTAGTTTATGTTTCCATATGAATTCCTGTATTGTTGTTTCTAGGTCTGAGAAGAATGTTCCTGGTAATTTGATGGGTATTGTGTTAAATCTGTAGATTGCCTTAGGTAGAACGGACATTGTAACAGCATTGATTCTTCCAATCCATGAGCATGAAATATTTTTCCACTTGTTTGTGTCATCTCTGATTTCTTTGAGCAGTGTTTTGCAGTTTTCATTGTAAAGGTCTTTTACATCACTGGTTAGGACGATGCCAAGGTATTTTTTGTGTCTATTGTGGATGGGATTGTGCTTTTTATTTGGGTTTCTGTTTGTTTATTATTGGAGTATAGAAATGTAATTGTCTTTTACACATTTATTTTATACACTGAGACTATGTCAAAGTCCCTTATCAGTGCAAGGAGGATTTTGACAGATTCTGTTAGGTTTTCAAGGTATAGAATCATGTCATCTGCAAAGAGGGATAACTTGGCTTCTTCTTTTCCTATTTGGATACTGCTGATCTCCTTCTCTTGTCAGATTGCTCTAGTTAGAACTTTCAAAACTATGTTGAACAGAAGGGGTGAGAGTGGGCATCCTTGTCTTGTTCCAGTTTTCAAGGGAAATTGTTCCAATTTCTGTCTGTTTAGCAGTATGCTGGCTGGGGGTTTCTCATAGATGGCTCTTACTATTTTGAAGTATGTTCCATCTATGCCTAGATGTTTAAGGGTTTTTATCAAGAAGGGGTACTGGATTTTATCAAAAGCTTTTCTGCATCTAATGATATAATCATGTGGTTTTTGTTTTTACGTCTGTTGATGCATTGGATTACGTTTAAGGTCTTACAAATGTTGAACCAGTCTTACACTCCAGGGATGAAGTCTACTTGGTCATGGTGGACAATTTTTGAGATGCGTTGTTGAATCTGGTTTGCAGGATCTTGTTGAGAATTTTAGCATCTATGTTAATCAAGGATATTGGCCTGTAGTTCTCTTTCTTCATTGGATCTTTACCTGGCTTGGGTATCAATGTGCTATTAGCTTCATAAAATGATTTGGGGAGAGTTCCATGTTTCTCAATCACCTAGAATATTTTTAGTAGGATTGGTATCAGTTCCTCCTTGTATGTTATGTAGAATTCTGCTAGTCCAGGGCTTTTTTTTTTGTAGGTTGTTTTTTTTATGACATGGTCAATTTCCTTGATTGTTATTGGTCTAATTAGGGTCTCAATTTCTTCTTGTTTCAACCTGGGGAGGTTGTGTGATATCAGAAAGTCCTCCATTTCCTTTAGATTTTTAAATTTGTTTCCATACAAGTATACATAGTAGTCTCTGATAATCTCTTGTATTTACTCAGAGTCAGTTGTGATTTCATCTTTTGTGTTTCTGATTGTGTTTATTTGGATTTTTTCTCTCTTTTTCTTGATCAGTCTAGCTAGGGGAGCATCGATCTTGTTTATCCTTTCAAAGACCCAGCTTTTTGTTTCATTGATTTTTTTTTTTTTTTTTTTTGTATTATCTTTTTGTCTTCTGTGTCCTGGATTTGGACTTTTATTTTGGTGATCTGGATTCTTCTAAAGTTAGGGTTTTGGTAGTCTTGCTTTTCCAGCTTCCTTAGATGACTTGTTAGACTGTTAATTTGTGATCTTTCCATTTTCTTCATGTGTGTGTTGTAGCGATTATGAATTCCACTCTTACTACTGCTTTCATGGCATCCGGAGGTTTTGATAAGATGTTACTTCATTTTCATTTGTTTACAGATATCTTTTAATATCTGTTTTGATTTACATGTTGACACAGAAGTTTCTTAGCATCATCTGTTTAGTGTCCATGTCTTTGTGGGTTTGGGGGAACTTTGTTGGTGTCGATATATTTATTTTTATTCCACTGTGGTCTGAGAAAGTGCATGGCAGAATTTCAATCTTATGAAATTTGTTTATGCTTGATTTATGGCCAAGAATGTGGTCGATCTTAGAGTATGTTCCATGTGGTGATGAGTAGAATGTATAGTCTGTGGTCATTGAGTGGAATGTTCTGTAGGTATCCATTAAGTGCATTTGGTCAAGAGTCACATTGACGTTCCAGATCTCCTTGCTGCATAAATGCCTTTTTTTTTTAAAAAATCAACCTTCCAGTTGTCGAAATGCATTGACCACCAACCCAGCCACATGGCTAACGGGGTTGGTTCCACATTTCACTTGTGCCAGTTAGTGCTCTTGGTATATTTCTTATTTAAGTTTTGGTTCAAGCTTGAGAGTTTGAGATTTTAATTTTTTTTAAAAAAAAGGGTTTCAGTAGAATTTTTAGTGTCTTAAAACACAAATAGACATATAACTTTCCTGACCTCTCTTCCACTCTAGAGCTTGATTCTCATTAATGTGGTGTCATTTGAATCTTGTAACCTTTATTTGTAACAGTGCCATTACATGGAGCTAGAATGTTTTGGGTCTAAGTAGCACTAACTTATAGTAATCGGCATGCACTGTCTAACCATGAAGATCATTTGTATACTTGAAACAGCAAGCCCCATCTTACATTATCGCCTTTGATAAGTAGGCCAGAGTTGGAACACCTTTTTTACTGACATTTCATGATTCATTTAAGAAATACATTAATGATATAAATGATGCAAATATAAGTAGGTTATATTTTCAAAGAATAAAACATTCTGGGTTATAGTTAGATACTAAGCTGTCACCAACTTACACTAACCTATGTCTAGAAGAAACCTCCATAAATGTATGTTGAAAAATCAACCTTCCAGTGGGTGAAATGCAGTGACCACGAACCCGGCCACATTGCTAACTGGGCTGGTTCCACATTTCACTTGTGCCAGGCTTTTGGAAGCCTTCCCTGTCAGCATTCTCCACTTAAGTCTAGTTGGACTGGCTAGTTACTCACAAAGGGAGTGCTCCCAAGGTGGGGCTTCTGGAATGAGGGGTGGGAGACATAGTGAGGCCTGCAAAGCTTAACAGCATCTCCGAAGAGATGAAAGGAATTCAGTCTTTCATTTCAGAAAAATGTATGGCAGGACTCTCATATCTCAAGCATTTGAAGTGTATCTGCTGAAATAAAAAAAAAATGGAAAGAAGAAAATCTCCCCCCTCTGGGGTTGTCTTTGGCAGTCATATCCTTTCTCAAATTGCTTTGGAACTGAAGTTGCAAGTGCACATTCAGTAACTGGGCTAGAACAAGTATGGGCTGACTTAACTGTGTGTATAATTTTGTTATTGTTGCTGTTGTTGTATAGGCAATTTGAGACAAAGTATGAAAGGCTGTCTACAGGCAAAGGTTATGTCTCTCTGAAGAGAAAAGAACGCCAAGTAGCAGGATGTGAATTCCCGCTCCATCAAGAGAACTCTGATATGTGCAAGGTGGTGTTTGCTCCTCAACCTGAAAGCACTTCCGGCGGATGGTTTTGAAACTGATCGGTAATATTTCACTTGAATTTGTCTCCCCAAAAGGGATATGATGTGACATGCCTAAGTACTTGCTCTCTGAGAGCACAGTGTTTACATATTTACTTGTATTTAAGATTTTTGTAAAAAAGCTATGAAAAAATTCAATTGATCAAATTTTGGCCTATGCAGTATACCCCCAGAGTGTCACTTTGAGTCATCATGTGACACTTTTGACAATTTTCTTAGTTTTCTTGCACCTCTCCAAAATCCTATTTGGTACAGTGAGAATAGTTTTTCTCTAAGAGAAAACTAGTGTTTGTTAAAAACAAAAAACACACACACTGAAGAGAACTCAGTTTTATTTCAACATTTTTTTTTTTAATCAGGACTTACTTTGTCACCCAGGCTGGAAAGCAGTGGCACAGTCACAGCTCACCACAGCCTCAACCTCCTGGGTTCTAGTGATCTTCCTGACTCAGCCTCCTGAGTAGCTGGAACTACAGGCATGTGCCACCATGCCCAGCTTATTTGTTTATTTTTTGTTTCGACAATTTTTGATCATATGAAGCCCTTGACAGAACCTTAAGCACAGCAGGAAAACCAAACACGATAACTAATCAGGAAAAAAATAAAATAAAATATGCCATGTTTTGCCTGCTTTTTTGGAGCTGAGGGGTTGGGGTAGAGGGGACAAGACTTTCAAAAGACTTTCATTAGCCAGTTTCAAGAATTAATGTTTATGTCTTCTGTTATTGTTAGTTTTTTAAAGCATGAAGGTGGAAGGCACACAGAGTTACTATCATGGCATCTCATCTTTCTGCAGACCTTGTAGTGAGGATGCACAGAAGTCACTGAGACCTCTGTCTCTAGTCCTACAAGAATATTGGACTTAACATGTGGGAATCAGAAAAATTAATTTCAGAAACTCCATTTGATTTTTCTTATGCTGTGTCTTTTTGAGAATGTCATGTGGTACACTGTCCTTTATAAGGGACATCCTCATCTATTCATAATTTATCTCTGGTTTACATATTTTGTGGTGGAACCTCCAGTCCGCTTGACCTATAATCTGCACGATAGCCAGAATGACTGAGAGAACATTGCTTCGAGATGGGTTTGGATTTCTCAAAGGTGAAATAAAGAAGAGAATGTCTTTATTTGTGTGAAATTAAAGACCCATATTGAACATTTGCAAATATTTATTAATACAACAGATGTGTTTATTCTGATAAAACCAAATGACAAGTGCTCATTTGTCCATTAAATGCACACATATAAAATGAAAGTTTAGCTAACTCACTTTTGGTTGTAAATTGAAAATGAAGTGTGATGAAATAAACATATGGAAATCTAATTCAATTCCTTTTATCTCTTATTACTTTGAACACTGTATTTCTTTGTTCATGCCACTTCTGAGCCTAGACACATATACAGCTGACCCCCTGCAACAATGTAGCTGGGCTATCCAGATGGGAAACCAGAGTCCTTGGAAAATAGGCCACTGAAAATAGCAGCAGTCAGGACCTCTTAAGGCCATGTGAGTTTAGGAAACCCCAGTTTTCCTAAAGCCCCGGACTGGAATCCTTATCGTTATGTTACTGAAAGGAATAAAGGAATCAAAAACTGAGGGGGTGGGTGGAGCTTGGTGACGGATGGTCTGGGCCTTGGGGGAAGCACTCGGAAAGATGCTGACACCGCAGGAAAGTGAGTTGGTCTAGGGACCCGTGCTGAAAATGTCGTGGGGTTAGGATCCTCAGTCATGTGATGTTTAAGAAGACACAGCTGCCTCCATGAAATTTAAAATAATCACGTATTTAACAGTGATGACCGTGGTGCTATGAACATTCATGTTTTACCACTTCCCATCCATGTGCCTGGCTGCTGAGTTGAGTGTCTGCCTATCCAGTGGCGATTGGACAGTATTGAGCATGCCCCAAAGAAGCAGGAAACCGGCCAGGTATGGTGGCTTGCTCCTGTAATCCCAGCACTTTGGGAAGCCAAGGCAGGAGGATTGCTTGTGGCCAGGAGTTCAAGACTAGCCTGGGCAACATAGTGAGACCCCATCTTTATTTAAAAATAAATTTTAAAAAGAGAAAGAAGAATGAACAGGAGGAGGAGGAAACCAGAAGCATAAGACAAACAATAACTCCTTAGATCACTGAGACAGAAATTTACAAGGATGATATTCCACATTTGGAAATAAGATAACTAAAGCCAGAAAAATAACTTTAAACCTCTCTTGCAGTCCTCTAGTTCTGACTTCCCTAATACAGATGTCAGTGTTCAAAAAGACTGTCTTCTGCAGAGATGTCTGTCTGGAAACTGTGCAGTCCTCTGATGTGAGTCTCCCTGCCTCTTTCTGTCAGCTCCTTCCTGCAAGCGTTCAGATTTAGTCTGGCTTCTTTTCTTTTGTAAACTGTTACTGTCACTCCCTGTCTCGTGTTGTAGTTCTGCTTGTGACAAGTTGCTTTTGCTTCTCTGAATCTGTCCACCTTCAAATATGTGTTAAAGCTAACATGTAATGCTTATTACGTGTCATATTTAAGCATTTTACATATATTAAGTCATTTAGTCTTCACGACAACCATATTTAACAGGTAGCATTACTATTTCCATATTATAGATCAGCACTGTCTAAGAGAAATATATGAGTCACATAAGTAAGTTTAAATTTGTGGTAGCCCACTAAAAAAGTAAACAAACAGGTGAAATGAACTTTAAGGATATATTGTATTTATCCCCATATATACAAAGTATTATCATATCAACATATAATTAATATACAAGTTATTAATGGAATGTTTTACTTTTGAGGGGAGGATTAGGTCTTCAAAATGTGTTGTACATTTAATATATATTGCACATCTCAATTTAGATTAGACCCATTTCAGCTGTTCAGTAGACACATGGGGCTGGTGGCTGCCATATTAAAGAGTACAATTTAGGTGCAGAAACCAAGACACAGATGACATTTAATTTGCCCCACAGAAGAAAAGAACTAGGGCTCAAATGTAAGTAGTCTCACTCCAGAACCTGCTCCCTGAACCCACTATCCTGTATTCCTCAGTTCCTTTTGATTTTAAAGATTTGCTGCTAAAAAAAAAAAAAATACAGACAGTAGGTTATGAAAATGATAAACATGGGACAGCAGCTACAAATCTTTAAGTTATATGACAGATTTCTTTGAGTCATTGCCTTTTCTATGTGGTGGTTCAGTCTCCTTCTCTGAGACTATAACATAAAACCTTGCCCACCACCCATAGAAATTAATTTTTTTCTTTGCCAAGTGTTCCTTCTTTCAAGAAGACTACCCCCATCCTTGGAGGAGGGTCTGAATTTATATTATCAAATGTGCATTTTTAATAATAGCTTTATTGAGATATCATTCACATACTATATAATTCACTCACTTATAATATAGGCTTCAATATTTGTAGTACAGTCACAATGATGTACAACCATAACCATCATTAATTATAGAGCATTTCCATCACTCCAAAAAGAAACCTGAATCCTTGAGCTGTTAGTTCCAATCTCCCCAACTCTCAGACTTAGGAAATCACTAGCCTACTATCTGTCTCTATAGATTTATTCTGGACAATTCATATAAGTGGAATCACACAAACTGTGTGGTCTTTTGTGACTGACTTCTTTCACTTAGCGTAATGTTTTCAGGTTTTGTCCATGTTGTAGCATGTGTCAGTATTTCATTAATTTTTATGATCGCCGGGCTTGGTGGCTCAGCCTGTAATCCCGTGCCTTTGGGAGGCTGAGGTGAGTGGATTGCCTGAGCCCGCGGGTTCAAGACCCGCCTGGGCAGCAAGATCTCATCTCTACAATAAATAAAAAAATCAGCCGGGCGTGGTAGCGCATGCCTGTGATTCCGGCTACTCGGAAGGCTGAGGCGGAAGGATCGCCGGAGCCCAGCAGGTCGAGGCTGCGGTGGCCGGGAGCGGCCACTGCACTCCAGTCTGAGATTCCGACTCAAAAAAAAAAAAATTTTTTATGATCAAATAATATCCCACTATATAGATATGTCATTATTTATTAGTTAATATTCATTTAACTTGTTTCTGCCTTTTGGATATTGGTGTCATGTTTGCACATAGCCTGAGTACACGCTCTTGCATATTTTAGAGCATCTGTAGATTACTTACAATACCTAATAAGATGCCCACACTTCATTCACACGGATTCAATGTAGTTCTCAGTGCAGGATAAATTCAGGTTGTGCTTTTTGGAACTTTGTGAAATTTTTTTGCCAAATATTTTCTTTCCTCTGTTGGTTGAATCCGTAGATGTGGAACTCATGGATAGAGAGTTGACTGTACTCAAAAACTAACAAAAGCTTATTTGAAACTTTAAAGCACAGTTTTCATAGTTTAAATGCCCTCCTGCAGAGGGAAGAGATACAGAACTCAAGATGCCTATCCCAGCAGGAAGATTTGAACTTCATATTAGTTGAATCTCAGTGTTCTTATCGATTTAATCATCACCCAAGAGGTAACAGGAGAGCAGATGAGGACAGAGAGACCTGGCTTGGAATTCCAGTTCCACTACCCACTGACTGAGTGATCTTGGGTAATGGGACTCAATCTATCTGCCATTTCTTAAAGGGGTATGATAATCCTTATTTCACTGTGCTGTTTTTAGGATTCATGGAGATCATGCATTTAGTAAACCATAGTGCTTAGCACATGGTAATGTTTGATTAATGTTGCTTTTTAGAAATTATGTTCTTGTCAATAATCAGTTTTGATAAAAGAGGTTTGTTAGCTCTTCATTTCCTTCCCTCTTTTTTCTTTTTCTTCTCTTCTCTTTTCTTTTGGAGTTTCACTCTGTTGCTCAGGCTGGAGTGAGTGGCATGCTCATAGCTCACTGTAGCCTCGACCTCCTGGGCTTAGGCAATCCTCCTGCCTCAGGCTCCTAAGTAGCTGGTGCTACAGGTGGGCACCACCACGCCTGACTAATTTCTTTATTTTTTGTAAAGATAAGGTTTTGCTATGTTGCCCAGGCTAGTCCCAAAGTGTTGGGATTACAGACATAAGCCACTGTGCTGGGCCTGATTGTACTTTATTTCTGCCTGCTCCTTACGGGTAGTTGGAGAACACAGTGGACCTTTCATATGCAGTACTTGGGAAGGTGGAAGGCAGGGGAGTACTGACCACAGTGAGGGGATTTAGAGGAAGATACTCCTACATATCTGAAATCTTATCTCTTCCCCTTACTACTGCTACACAAACTTTCAAACTTCATAGCTTCCACATCAATAAAATGAGTAGCACCTTATAGGTTGTTGTGAGGACGAAGTAAAAGACAGGTCCCTGGCACTTAGCAAGCACTTAATGAATACTAATATTCTCTTCTTATTCTTCTTCTTTTTTTTTTTTCTTTAGAAACAGGGTCTCACTCTGTCACTCAGGCTGAATTTCAGTGGCGTGAACATAACTCACTGCAGCCTTTAAATCCTGGGCTCCAGCGAGCCTCCTGCCTCAGCCTCCCAAAGTCCTGGGATATTAGACGTGAGCACTCATTAATATTAACTTTTTGTAAGTGGTCTTATAGAACTCCAGAATAAAGC